TATCCAAGATTTCAACTTAAAAAGCCAAACATCTCAAAGATTTACTGCCAATGAAAAATGAATCATAAAATAAAGGGACCTGGCTCAGTAACATTCACATAAAATTTGTTTGTGCTTTTATAATTGCTTCATCAGTATTTTTGTATCCAGAGAAAACATGACAAGATTTAGAAATAGAAATCTCTTTTTTCTTCTTTTTTCTTAGACCTATACTCTAGTGCAAATAAATATTTTTGTATGTATATAAGTGACAAAGTTTAAAAAAAATGTATTTGAACCAGTGGGCAATGCCTCATATTAAGTGAGTTCCATTGACTTTTGTGGCTCTATTCCTTGGTAAAAGAGCAGATTTGTGGGCTGAGCTGGTGTGATGTGGTGTGTGACTGTCTCTTTACGACCTGATGTTATAAGAAAAACTCTTTGTTCCCACAGTAGGTAAGGCAATGAGAGCGCACATCCAGCCTTACACATAACACGGATAATTGAATCTGCTGGCAGTAAAAGGACGCTGTGCAGCGTTAAAGAGGTGACAAACAGCCACAAATGCACACATTCCATTTTTACAAGCAACAAAACATCCTCCAGTCGTTTTAGTGTTCTTACTTCTTAATGAAGTATCATTTAAGAACTTGAGAATATTAGTTTTGCAGATAGACCACAATATGCCACAGTGTGTTGTGTTCGAGACCTCTACTTCCTGCATATTACATCCGATTTCACAATTCACCATCTATGGCTTTATTGTCATGAGCGTGTTTGATGATTGTAAATATTAAACGTATAGACATGTCACATAGACTTTAATCCCAAATTGAAACTTGTGTTCTATGGTCCTGACGTTTTATTGTGTTGTTAGAGTTTTTTCAAACTCCACACAGAAAGGTACTTTTTGGAGGTTAAAGTGGACATACTGTATCGTGTTTTCAAATAATTGATTTTTACATCTAAATCATTAATTTGTGGCCTATATAAAGCGTAACTGCAATGCCTGGGTCTGAGTCTCATTATTTGTAGCTCCACGGGCCTTTCTTCTACACCTGTTCTGAGGTGCGTCTGAGAGCAACCTGTTTTGGTGCTGTCTCTTTAAATGCAAATGAGGCACTTTTGACCACCCCCCCATCCAGGTAACACAGGTTCAACTCCACCCAGAGCGGCTATTTTTGTAGTTTCTAAGCACAGATACAATTATCTCATAGAAACTTCTCTTTACATCGCAAACATGAAGCAGCCCTTCCTCATTGACTGAAAGCAAATGTTAATTTTCATTCTTAGTCCAGTCCATTATCGACTCTTCTCTTTTTAGCTTTGGGATCCATGCGCACAGCCTATGATGCTCACACGCCGGTTTGTTTACAACAGCGGCCGCCTGGCGCGGGCCTACGTCGCAGGAGATGACACACTACGTTGACAGAAATGTTTAAATTGAATATTACTTATGCACAATTTCACAGCATTTAAAAACGTTAAGAACGTTTTTCCTTCTACAGAAGGAAAGAGACGCATGCGCCTCCGGAGCCGCAGTTTGCCGACTCCTAGTTTATACAGTATGTGGAAGCAAATACTGTAGAGGATCAGGATATGTGCAGTTTCAACAATAAAATAAAATGCAATAGTCTACATTACAAGAGAGTAATGAACATGTCTCAGAGTGAGGGAGGTGGACACAGACAACACTATTGTTTGTTTCAGGGATGAGAATTGGTCAAAAAAGACTGAAACGCATATTGTCAGCCATTTGCTGGCTCTAAATCTGTTTAATTTGTTCACAACATATTACTTTTGGGCTCAAACATGAACTTTTAATGCAATGGAAAATGTAGGTATCAGAGCTTTATTTAGGGCGTTTAATCGTGCTTCGAGAGGAGAGGGGAGACGCGGACTGTTTCCTGCAGCAGTGTATTTATTGGGTTCACAGATTACTCAAAGACACGCATGGTCCTGTGCGCGTTTATGGGGTTGGGTACATGGCCACGTTGAGGCTGCGCGCTCAGCCTGTTCGCTGGCATCCTTGAGCTTGGACTACAAATTAAGTGATGCACAGTAGAGGAGGGCTGGGCCGAAGTGTTTTGTTAGACGCCCATGCCCTTATATAGCAGTCTCGCTGCAAATACTGTGACGTAATAATCCTAAACACGTAATAGAGAATGGCAAAATCAGAACGGGTTGAAAAATCTTACCTAAACAGAATATGAAGTGTTCTCTGCAACCCATGAAGAGACTGATTTCAGCTTTTTTGCACTTCTAGAGGCTCCAACCTCACAACATAAGGCATTTAAGGCACAAAAAGTGGATTTTTCATGATATGTCCCCTTTAAATCTAACCCAGGACCACCATGTGAGTCCTGACAGCAGACCAATCAGGTGCCTTCTTTTCCCAAATTTGTCTTCAGCTTGCAACGAGTTTGAGCTACAGACAGTGCTGCTCCTGATTGACTTGTTGTTAGATCACTACTACCCACGAACTTGGCACCAGATTCCCACTTCTAGACCCTGGTTGAGTAAGGAAAAGACTATGGGTGACGTCACTGCTCCTTCTACAGTCTGGTCTATCCCACAGTCTCTTCCCTGTGAGCAGAGACTGTGGAGTCTTCATGGAGGTGTCAACAAGAGGCATCCAATACAGAAACTGAAGTTAGCTCACCTAACTCTAAGGGGGCGTTCAGACCTCTGACGCTGGAACGCAGCTACCAGGATTCTTTAAATTTCAGACGCTAGGGGTGTTCAGACCAGAAGTCTTGGCCTGCCCTGGGCGGGCTTTGATGGTAACGGAGTTAAGCTAGCTGCTTTTTGTGTGAAGTTCTTCTCCAAGAAAGTAGCTCTGCGGTGTCTCTGTGTACGGAGACCTTCTAGAGACTTTACATAACAGCAGTATGTGTTCATGGAGGTGCGCCATGAGTTCATTTTATTTTTAACAGTACTTCTGCATTGACGAACACACTAGCTGCACTAGTTCACAGTCACTGGAGAATGAGAACCCAAGCTGGAGGCATATGTTCACAAGCACAGATTGTCAATCCTGGTTTAGTCCTGGTTTAGTTCTGGTTTAGTCCTGGTTTAGTCCTGGTTTAGCTTCTGTTTTGGCTATTTATGAGTATGTTCAGTCTGCTCGCTAGACCGCTAATGTCCCCGTGACCACTTTGCGGCTCTCTGATTGGTCGTGCGTCCTGAGGAAAAAGTTTAGCAATTTTTATTTCCTGCGTGCGTCGATTTTCCGTTCCTGCGCTTCTGCCACGCAGTCCGTGCGTGCATCCCAAGACACACATGCAGTTACACGCTCGAACGCACGTTACCATTGACTTTGCAATGAAAGTCGCAGCAACGCATGATCAGGTCTGAACGCCCCTTAAGGGAGTTCCCAGTCTGCAGAGCGCTTGTATCTTGTCATTTTGGTGAAAAAGACCTGTCTGGAACATACAGTAACACTAAGAAAACACTACTTCACTTTATACCGAACCCCGCTTGTCCTATTGTAAAACCTTATTCAAGCATACATATCAGAATTATAATTCTTGTAAACTCACGTCTACTGTGTGTATGGGAGAACATACAGTGATTTTCTAAGATGTCTTTCATTGGATTTGAGCGAGGCCTTTTCATTTTCAGCTTAGTTGTGGCTGGGAACTTTTATTAAACTCCGTCCACATCAGAGAGCACGGAGCAGACCAACCATCATGTATTTAACCTGGAGTCTGTCATTATATACTCACAGATCCATAAAGTCTCAACCACACACTCCGGTATGTTCAACGCAATGTCACAAACAAGCTGCTCAGTTTTATCTAAAGTCTATGATTTTGTCTTTTTACAAGTGATAAACTGGGAGTAAAACTAGACATGATGTGATTACTTACCGTCAAACATGATTATGAACTTTGGCACATTAAGAAAGTTCAAATTAGTTTTCCGTTTGTCGTGTTTAGTCCCATGTTTGCATGTTTTAGAACTTAAAATAGAGCCAGCCCCATAAACACTGGGACACACTTTTGTGATTTTCTTCTACAGTATTGCTTCCATTGTGAGGGTATTTACAGAAAAAGCAGCAGAACACACATACTTTTTGAGTATCCAAGAGTTTTGTGACAGACTAACAGAAACGCAAACTTTCACATTTTAAATCTTGGTTGCAATTACTGCCTGAAGTCTGGAAGGTAAAGAGTCGCTGCATTTTCCCTTAAGAAATCAGATCCAGGTTTCTCCGGTGAAGTCTTCTCTTGATTGTTGACACACACACACACACACACACACAAACACACACACACACATGCGCCTCCCTCTTGAGTGTTCTTGATCTTTCCGACTACTCAACAGGAGTATTTCTTCACTAAAGAGAGAGAGAGCTGTCGTCCACCACTATTGTGGTTTTGGTCTTGTTGGTCTTTTGGTGTTGTAGATCTCACTGGTTTGGAAAAATCTTGAACAAGAAAGAATGCACCAGATTTTTTGTCATGTTTTCTTATCTCTCCAGGTGCGAGTAACACATTCTTGACAATAAACTTGCAGATATAGTTCCTGAAAATAACAAATGAATAGTGCACATGACCATCAAACAGTTGAATAGTCAGATGTCCTAAAGCTTTCATTCTGTTTGCTTCACTTCAAATATATTGTTGTGGTGTGTGGAGTTAGAAAAAGAAATTCAATTCAATTCAATTCAATTATCTTTATTTACAAAACTTCATGGTCATACAAGTCATACACATTCTAATTTCTAAAGTTAGGCGCTTCGTAAAAGGAAACCCCCAGATGATAAACTACTATTATAGCCACAGCTGCCTTGGGACACACTGACAGAAGCGAGGCGACCAGTATGAGCCATCGGCCGCTCAATAATGTGTCAACGGCCCAATATTTATGGAACTAACTGAAATGTATGTGCTATTATTTGAAGCTGTTTGGACCCACCACCACTTTTACAAATACAACCACTAACACAGCCTTTTAAAATGTGCTAATGCCAGCACGGCAATAATGACCACAACTTGACGGTGCGGTGTGTTCAGCTTACAGACGGGGGTAAAGCGTCCAAAGGAGGCGTTGCCGTGGGCGACCTGGTCTTGTTCATCGACGGCATCTCCACTGACGGCATGAACCACCTGGAGGCGCAGAACAAGATCAAGAACTGCAGCGGAAACCTCCAGCTCAACCTGCAGAAGTAAGTGACGCCTTTACACTTACTGTATATGTGAGCTGGTGCAGAGAGAGCAGAGAGAGCTTTATGGGTAAAATAGGCAAAACAACAATAATGGCACTACACCTGATGATTTAACATGGCTTGAATTCAATTTTTTCTTCTTGGCTTTGGTAATTTTGCCTAATTTATGTAAGCTCAGTTGATGAACTTATATGATTCTGACAAATTCAAAACATGTTTTCCGTAGAGCGAGAAAATTCCTCTTCTCTAATGTTTGTTAATTGTACGAAAATGTATTCTCCCCAGTGAAATATTCTCAGTTGAGAAATGTAAAACTGATATTTTCAGCAAAATGTACTTTAGAAAACTAAACTTCTATAGTTTATGTACAAAATCAACTTCAAATCTGTTTTTTAGGCACGATTCAGCGGTGTATAATAATAATAATAATATAAAGATCTCATTATAAGCAAAATAAAAATCCATGTGTTCTTCTCAGGGGAAGATGACACGTTGATATCAGGGTTCGTTTTTTCCCACACTCGCTGAGTTTTATATTAAAATCCCTGATAGTTTTTGGCCCAGGTTTAGTTCAGTTCTCTTACATAAACTGGAACATTTCCTTCTAACTCTGCGGCGGCGTTGGACAAAGCCAGAACTTCTCTTCTCATAAAAAAAAACCTATTAGTCCTGGCAACGCAGTCAGGATCCACAAATTCAACGAGACACATTTGGGAAAGATAATCTAATTTAATAAAACTGCTTTGTGTTTTATCTAGAGTGAAATAAGTCACTTGGTTACCATGACAACTCCAAAAAAGAGAGAGGAAAAACTCTGTGATATGTGCATGAAGGGTTACAATAAATAGTAAACTAGTTAGAATAGTGACTCAAAATGATAAATATTTAACTTTAGACTGCTTTTGTGAATACATGAATAGTTTACCAGGCGACACATTCCCCCATGGACTAATGTATGGTTTACCTATAACATTTAAAGTAACATTTATAAAACTTCTACTTTATCTCAATTCTCAAGTTAAAGTCACAGTTTCTGATGAGAAAATCGCAGCCAAAGCATCTGCAGTTGTTGCACTAGGATTTTACCTGTTGTACATATTGTCTTCAGTGGTTCAGTATGGGAGACTGGAGCACCCAGTGGACACCTACACTGACAAGGGGAGAACATGCAAACACAAAATCATCCTCTCCTTCTCATAGAGCGCTGTGTTGAAGCTGTCCAATGGATGCCTGTTACTAAATCTGAAAATATGTTAGAATCAAACTGTTTTGAAAGTGAGGAACTAGACTCATACATTTCTTTGTATGTGGTTTGAAAGTTAGATATCCCAGCTTTAATTATGCTTAGAGTTGTAATGGAAGAGAACGTATATGAAGAGAGCAACTTATACAACAGAATACAGAGGGAAAAAGGGTTGTAAATGTTAAAATATTGGGCTGTTTGAAAGACTTATTGAAAACATTTATTGACTCGGATTAGAGGGAAGTTTACAGAGCTCCTAAACAGAACGCATGGATGCTCCTCCCATCAGGCTCAGAGCGACTGTGATTGGTCCAGATGCTCCCACACATGGCGTCCACATGTGCGGAGGAGCCGTGACTTATGGTAAACAGGTATAATCCCCAAGACGCTTTCTTCCAACACAAGAATGTGAGGGAGCAGAGGCAGCAGCATTTCACATGTTCTGTACAGTAAGAAGTCCGATGTCGATATAACACAGATCACGCTTAAAATGACTTAGATTAGTTATTTCAGACACAGCAATTTTTATTTTCTTGTGTCACAGTTTGGTGATTACCAAACTTTAATGGGCTATATGCACGGGGAGGCGTGACGTCATTTCCGGTTAACAAAGCACAGCCCTTTCACTTCCTGCCTATGCTATCCTATGGCTTTTAGGTGGGTTTTAGTGACGTTTTTTAGTAATTAGATCGATACATTCAGCTGTGAGACTGACCCAAAAGTGTCACTGGGCTTTCTCTCTGAGGTAGAGCGATTTGTAAACTTTATAAAAACACAATGACAGCACAATCAAAGAGCACTTTTGTGTCCCAAAAATGCCCAGTTACCTCATAGTATAATTTCCGTTTGAGCATTATTTGGGAAACTCGTGTAAACCACTGCTGAACTCCAGTGAAACTCAAGCCATTTCCCGAGAACCGGAAGTGAGGTGGGGCTTTAGCTAAAACGCGGAAGTGGTGCGTGCATCGAGCCCATATCCCAGTGACCCCTGTCTTGAAGGAGGAGAGTCCCATTTGGGTCACCATCACGGCCAAATCGTACAGCCCAACCCTGGCCTCTGCATCATTCTTGCATGAGCCTGAAATGAGCCTGGCGGGTTTATGTTATGCATGGATCTCCAACCTCTAGCCTAGATCACCCCGCTCTTCAAAGTAGCTCCCAAATGGATAAGTTTATGAGTAAATAAAAAAAAAAAGATTGACAGATTCTTTGATGGGTATAACACTACGCAACAAAACAATACCAGAAAAAAAAGTTAGAAATTGCCTAAATCCGACTAAGATGATTAGAGAACATTTTGTCTTTAAACCAGATTTGCCAATAGAATATGTAATACATTTGTTATATCTGTGCTGGAAGAATGGCTGGAAGACCATTGTTTAAAAAAAGTTAAAGGTTTTCAAATCACAATGAAGAACTACTTAGTCCATTGTAGAACATTTTGTCGACTAAATGTGTAGTAGCTCTCTGCCAGTGTTGTCCTGAAAAAGTATCTCTCCAAGGAAACAGGTTGGAGACCCCTGATGTAATGTAACACACGCTTACCAAATAGTGATAGTGCCATATAATGTGCATGCAGCAGCAGTTCTGAGTGTTCCACCTCCAGACAGCAGTGTGCAGGGCTGACACTGGCTTCTTATTTACTCTTCCACTTCTTTATTCCGTGTAGTAAAAACACTTTCTTTGACACTCTCGCTCTTCTATGTTCGTACTTCTCTGCGTAGTCACTCTAACTTTGGAAATACACATTACACATTTTTCCATGTTTGGAGAAAGTCTGTGGTCTGAGAGCTGCAGTTTCATACAATTAAAGACTGAAGACTCTAAACTTGACAAGAGAAAACAGTTTGTTCAAAGCCCATAAAGCTACTTCCACATTATACATACGTCTCCTATAAATCGTCCACCTCACACAGAGTCGCGTGCCACCGGAGCTGGGTTATTCCTGGAGTGGTGATGAGGAAGTTTACGTATGGCAGCGTGTACATTTCACTGTGTTTACGGTGTGTGTGTGCAGCCATACGATCTGTGCAAAGAAGAGGTGTCGAGCGGACATGTCCTGAACCAAAGCTCAAAGGGCAAAAGGCTGTTTGCCACAGTCTGAGGTCACAGCAGGCCAAGACTTACACTTATTATTCTGTAAATGATAGCTGTAACACATTTTATCATATATAAATATTCTCTGCAATAATGGGGATACTTTTCTATTTGGATTGCATTATTTTAGTTTGTGAGGGTAAACATTTCCAATTTCTATGAGAGAGCCGCCCTACAAATATTACTTAGGAATACAACTTTTTATTTTTACTGCTTCAATATTATCGATTATATACCTCTGTGGCACTTTGCACTTGCGGTAAAGAATACAAATCTACAAAACATTTATTTTATTGATGAATGAAAACGAAAAAATTAACAGAACCAAAGAGCCGTGGTGACCATACGCGGTGCCATTTACAAACGTTTTTAGTCTTTAAATTCCTTGTCCATATTAATGGGACCTCCGGGAACATCAGGTACCACAGTGCAGCTGGAAAGTGCCAAACTGTGTCCTTAGGCAAAACACTTCACCCACATTGCTATGTTGGCTCTTTGTTGTGATGATGTTTAGGGTGGCGCTGAATCTTGTTGCATCAAATATAAAGCTCGTCTGACGTCTTGACTGCTCCGTGTGGACATTGCTATTGTCGCTCACATGTCGCCCAGAGGTGCTGTGGCTTCACCTGCTTCTGTCCCTCAGCCTCAGCCTCAGCTCAAAGGCTCCTCTCAGTCACATCCATCCCATAATCACACTTAAAACCCCGGGAATGCACCGCTATCACACACCTGTCTGTGCTCATCACTGCTATAGTGGCCAAAGAAAACAGACGCACTACACTGCAAAGAGTGATGGAAAGAAAAGGTTAAAAAGATCTAAAATTTGGCAAAATATATCTTAATTTGAACTCATTCTGACCACCTTAAAACAAGATTTGCCAATGGGATGTGCTGAATTATGTTGTTTTAAAGAGATACAAGACATTTCTCCCTTTGAATTAGAAAATAAAGCAACAGTTCTTGAAAAAAGACTAAATGGCTCTGTCCCATTTGCAAATCGGAATGTCCAGTAATTTAGATCTAAAAAAAAAAACCCACTTGATTCAAGCAATAATTACCTCATAATAATTGCTTGAATAGTTCAGTGCACAAATAAAATTTGTGCACTGCAAATTTAATTATTGTTCTTTTTTTATTTATTACTGTTTGAAATTAAACGTTGGACTTTTTAGAAAGCCAGTCTGTAGTAACTGGACTTTGTGGGGTCACGAGAGGGCTTCCAAGAATAATGAAACATAGACTTTAACTGGACAACATAAGAAAGGATCAAAGCTTAATTTTGTGGGTATTATTGTGAGCAATCTTTTTCACTTGTGTGGAAACATTTTCGTCAAAATGTGGTTGCCTTAGTCCCGCCTCGAGGACCCAAAACTGTACTCTATCCTTTCATTGTGACCACAGATCAGATAATCAAACAGTTTGAACACAGGGAATTCAATAACAGCAATCGTATAGGGGCCATTGGTCCATAGGTAACCGGATGACCCATTTTCATAAATTTTATAAAATGAATGCCCATAAATGTGCTAGATCATCAGTGTCCTTAAGACAAATTCCTGCCAAAAAAAAATATACAGTGGGGAAAAAGTGAGAAATCTTGGGGGGACCCACATTGATAGAGGGATCCGCTCCAATGGAAGGACAAACTATAGATCCAGGA